TCCGGTGCTCTCCGGTGTTCCCGGACCTCCCTCCGCCGCCGGGCCGGGCGGAGCGGAGCGGCGGGGGAGGTGTCCCGGCCGGGCCGCCTCTCCGGGCGGAGCCAGCGGCGGGAGCGGCGGCGCGCAAGGAGCGGGTTGTGGGAGCGGTGCCGGTGCCGGTGCCGGTGCCGGGGCGGCCCCGCCATGCTGAGCCGCCTGGGCGCGCTGCTGCAGCAGGCGGTGGAGGCGGTGAGCGGCGCCGGGGGCGCGGGGGCGCCGCGGGGCGCGCGGGGTGCGGGCGCCCCTCACCGCGGCCTCGGTGCGCGCAGCGGGAGCCCAGCGTGGACCTGCTGGAGGCCTTCGTGGAGCACTGGAAGGGCATCACCGGCTACTACTTGGAGACCACGGGTGAGTGCGGGGCTGGGGGCGGCCCTGGGACGGGCTTCCCACGCCCAGGATGTTGTTCCCGTGGCCTGGGAATAGGATTCCCACACGGAACAGGGGTTCCTGCACCACGAGACCGAGTCCCGTGGCCAAGGGACAAGATTCCCAATAGAGTCCCGTGTGCCGGGACAGGACCCCCTGCCAAGGGACAGGCCCCCCTGCCACAGCAGGATGCAGGGACCGGCCGTAGCAGGTCCTGGGCACGGGGCAGCGCCGGCACAGCGGCCTCAGGACCGGCAGGGCCGCGTCCCTGGGCGCTCCCAGCAGTGCCCACGCTCCCGGGAGGCCTGCAGCCCGCGCAGGTCTCTCTCCAGGTGTGCACTGCTGTCCTGGGCCACTAAAAGCAGCGCCGTGGCAGCTTTCACGTGCTTTTCCCGGCAGGAATTTCTCCCTGGGCCACACTGGAGGCTTTCCCAGCCTTGCCCTGTGTGCTGGGAAAGCCCTGTGGCCCTGGCCGGGACACAGGGAGCTCCGTAGGCCCCGAGCAGAGGAAACAACCTCTAATGCTCCCGGGCCTCCGCTATGGTGTTGCCATCTAGCGTCGCCAGCATTAATAGCCTTGGACTATTGGGAATGCTGGGACCAAAACATTTGGGGTGTTGCACGCTATAAGTGACAACACAAGGACATGACGAAGTGCTTGGGGATGTTCTCACTCTGTTACGGGATGCTTGGAGCCCCACAGGACTGAGAATGGTGCTCGGAGCCC